CAGAACTCCCATAACAGAAAATACTGCAAGGGTTTGGTAGGCATTGATCTTGAGTCTGGGAGTTGCAGTTCACCTACATCCAGAGAGCACTGTGGATGCAAAAATGAGAGATCTGGACCAAACTTTGCATGAATACTCAATATACCCAAATGTGAACACTGGTGGAGTTTGGGGAAAATAGACCTTGACGTTTAGGAGTTGTAGTTCCTGGGATTTATAGTTCGCCTGCAGTCAAAGAGCATTCTGAAACCCACCAAAGATAGAATTGGGCCAAACTTCCAATACATAATCCCCATGACCAACAGAAAATAGTGTAAGGGTTTGATAGGCATTGAACTTGTGTTTGGGAGTTGTAGTTCACCTACATCCAGAGAGTACTTTGGACTCAAATAATGATGGATCTGGACCAAACTTGGCATACAGAACCCCTATGACCAACAGAAAATACTGTGTTTTCCAATGGTCTTTGGTGACCCCTCGGACGCCCCCTCGCGACCTCCCAGGGGTCCCGACCCCCAGGTTGAGAATACCTGATATAGAAGATTGTTTTTATTGTATTGAAATTGTATTTTATGGTCTTGGCACCAATTGTAAACCGCCCCGAGTCGCCTGCGGGCTGAGAGGGACGGTATATAAATATTGTAAATTAATAAATGAATACACTGTAGAATTAATGCAGTTTGATACCCCTTGAACTGCCATGGGTTAGTGTTATGCAATCTAAGGATTTGTAGTTTGGTGAGACATTTCTCTATGGCAGAGAAGGCAAAAGAGCTAGAAAAATGACAACTGTAGTAGTTAAAGTGTTATCAAACTGTATTCACCCTATAGTGCAGATGTACCCTCAGTAACACAAGCCCTCCCCCTCAAAACAGTGAGAATGTATAGTAACTTGGACCCTCCACGTGCATATTGACCCACACGTGCGTATATGGCCTACCCACGCTCACATCGAATGTGTCCATGGAACGCACGACCCGCTTGCGGCACGTGTTCGGTTCCTTTCTCTTTCTCTCTCTGCCAAGGAAACCCCAGGTGGCTGCACCAGATTTCACGCTGCATGGGTTTCCGAGTTGGTGGAATCTTTGACCGGAATTAAAAAGCCCCCGAACGTCTGTTCTTGTCTGGTGACTGCAATTGCGTTATGGCAACGTGCCATCGGGGAGAGAGACATGGCCAACCGCTGTTCCGTTTCACTTAACCGCTGCAGGGTTTGCATAAAGGTTGAGGGCAGCAGAGGGATAGAGGCATCAGCCGATTCTAATGAGCCATGCAAAGCCGACAGATGTGCCTCGTTCCACCTCCACTCTCCCCTGTTTTAAATGCCATTTATTACCGTATTAATTATTAAGCGGCGTCTCTCATTGCTTGGGCAGCAATGGTTCCTGCTTGAGAGAGCGTAGCCTTGTATTTCTCTGCATCTCAACATTTGGTTTTCAAAGTGGGTGACGCCTGGTTTGAACACAATGTGAAAGGGATCTTAGCAGGCCTCAAGCTGAACATGAGTCAACAGTGGGATGCCGCAGCTAAAAAGTGAGTGCAATTGGAGTATAGATCATAGAATCATAGAATTGGAAGAGACCTCATGGACCATCTAGTCCAACCCCAATCAGCCAAGAAGCAGGAAGGGATCTTAGCAGGCCACAAGCTGAACATGAGTCAACAGTGTGATGCTGCAGCTAAAAAGCGAGTGCAATAGGAGTATAGATCATACAATCATATAGTTGGAAGAGACCTCATGGGCCATCCATTTCAGCCCCATTCTGCCAAGAAGCAGGAAGGGATGTTAGCAGGCCACAAGCTGAACATGAGTCAACAGTGTGATGCCACAGCTAAAAAGTGAGTGCAATAGGAGTATAGATCATAGAATCATAGAGTTGGAAGAGACCTCATGGGCCATCCACTCCAGCCGCATTCTGCCAAGAAGCAGGAAGGGATCTTAGCAGGCCACAAGCTGAACATGAGTCAACAGTGTGATGCTGCAGCCAAAAAGCAAGTGCAATAGGAGTACAGATCATAGAATCATAGAGTTGGAAGAGACCTCATGGGCCATCTACTCCAGCCCCATTCTGTCAAGAAGCAGGAAAGGATGTTAGCAGGCCACAAGCTGAATATGAGTCAACAGTGTGATGCTGCAGCTAAAAAGCGAGTACAAGCGAGTGCCAAGACGCAGGAAAATCACATTCAAAGCACCCCCGACAGATAGCCATCCAGCCTCTGTTTCAAAGCTTCCAAAGAAGGAGCCTCTACCACACTCCGGGGCAGAGAGTTCCACTGCTGAACAGCTCTCACAGCTCTCCATTTATTTGCAACTAGCTTTCCCCTGCCATGCGTTGCTGTGGCCCACATGGGGGTTCTGTGTGGGAGGTTTGGCCCAATTCTATTGTTGGTGGGGTTCAGAATGCTCTTGATTGTAGGTGAACTATAAATCCCAGCAACTACAACTCCCAAATGTCAAGATTCTATTTTCCCCAAACTCCACCAGTGTTCACATTTGGGCATATTGAGTATTCGTGTAGAGTTTGGTCCAGATCCATCATTGTTTGAGTCCACAGTGATCTCTGGATGTAGGTGAACTACAACTCCAAAACCAAAGGACATTGCCCACCAAACCCTTCCAGTATTTTCTGTTGGTCATGGGAGTTCTGTGTGCCAAGTTTGGTTCAATTCCATCGTTGGTGGAGTTCAGAATGCTCTTTGATTGTAGGTGAACTATAAATCCCAGCAACTACAACTCCCAAATGACAAAATCAATTTTTTGAGTGAAGGACATACATTAGGTTGTTAGGTGTCTTGTGTCCAAATTTGGTATCAATTCGTCCAGTGGTTTTTGAGTTCTGTTAATCCCACAAACGAACATTACATTTTTATTTATATAGATATAATAATTAAATACATCTTGGTCAACAAAAATTAATTGATTCATTAATTGATTTATATCTGCTTTCTCCTGACATGAGACTAATGGCTATTGTCCACCAACATTACATTTCCCATTCTTGAGTTCGGAGTAGAGTTCTTTATATTTATTTATCGTGTCATCAGCAACCATTGTATTACAATTCTAACAGAGCAAAACAAACACAGAGATTAAAAAGAAAAAGAAAAAAAAAAGAAAAAAAACCACACAGATTTTGCAAATTTGGTATTTGGTTAAATGTCCTTTGACCAGTATCTGGCCACTTGGAGTGCCTCTGGTGTTGCCGCAAGAAGGTCCTCCATTGTGCATGTGGCAGGGCTCAGGTTGCATTGCAGCAGGTGGTCAGTGGTTTGCTCTTCTCCACACTCGCATGTCGTGGATTCCACTTTGTAGCCCCATTTCTTAAGAGTGGCTCTGCATCTCGTGGTGCCAGAGCGCAGTCTGTTCAGTGCCTTCCAAGTTACACACACATATATATATACACATACACACACACACACACACACACACACACACACACACACACAATCCGTCCCCTGCCACACATTGCTGTGGACCAGTCTGGTGATCTGGAAAATAAAGAAATGGTTTCTAATATATGTAATTCCTTTATGCTTATGGGTAAACAGTATTTCTTGTTGTTTCTATGTCAGTGTTGATGTGGAGATTGTCTGGTTTGCCTACTCTGAAACATGCAACATATAATTGTCCTTCTTGGGGTCCCTTTCAAATCTATGATACTATATCTGTGCGTGTGTGAATCATGTAAATCTATCTATATCTATGGCCGGATGGCTCTTTGTCAGGAGGGCTTTGATTACGTTTTCTTGCCCTGGTTATTTATTTATCGTGTCAGGAGCAGACCAAACAATTGCATTCACTCTTGCCCTGGTGAAGGGAGTTGGACTGGATGGCCTTGAGTATTTTCTGTTGGTCATGGTGGTTCTGCGTGGGAAGTTTGACCCAATTCTCGTTGGTGGGGATCAGAATGCTCTCTGATTATAGGTGAACTATAAATCCAGTAACTACAACTCCCAAATGTCAAGGTCTATTTTCCCCAAACTCCATCTGTTCATATTTGGGCATATGGAATATTCGTGCCAAATTTGGTCCAGATCCATCATTGTTAGAGTCCACAGTGCTCTCTGGATGTAGGTGAACTACACCTCCCAAACTCAAGGTCAATGCTCACCAAACCCTTCCAGTATTTTCTGTTGGTCATGGGTTCTGTGTGCCAAGTTTGGTTCAATTCAATCATTGATGGAGTTCAGAATGCTCTTTGATTGTAGGTGAACTATAAATCCCAGCAACTACAACTCCAAATGTCAAGGTCTATTTTTCCCAAACTCCACCAGGATTCACATTTGGGCATATTGAGTATTTGTGCCAAGTTTGGTCCAGATCCATCATTGTTTGAGTCCACAGTGCTCTCTGGATGGAGGTGAACTACAACTCCAAAACTCAAGGTCAATGCTCACCAAACCATTCCAGTATGTTCTGTTGGTCATGGAAGTTCTGCATGCCATGTTTGGTTCAATTCCATCATTGGTGGAGTTCAGAATGCTCTTTGATTGCAGGTGAACTATAAATCCCAGTATCTACAACTACCAAATGTCAAGGTCTATTTTCCCCAAACTCCATCTGTGTTCATATTTGGGCATATGGAATATTCATGCCAAGTTTGGTCCAGATCCATCATTGTTTGAGTCCACAGTGCTCTCTGGATGGAGGTGAACTACAACTCCCAAACTCAAGATCAATGCCTACCAAACCCTTCTAGTGTTTTCTGTTGGTCATAGGAGTTCTGTGTCCCAAGATTGGTTTCATTCCATCATTGGTAGAGTTCAGAATGCTCTTTGATTGTAGGTGTACTATAAATCCCAGCAACTACAACTCCCAAATGACAAAAATCAATTTTTTGAGTGAAGGACATACATTGGGTTGTTATGTGTATTGTGTCCAAAATTGGTGTCTTACCAACAAATTCAACTTAAGAACATACCTACAGAACCTATCTTTTTCATAACTTGGGGACTGCCATTAAAATCTTGTTTATGTCCTTGTCTAAATTCCTCTCTAGGTAACTCCAGTGAAAGATCAGCCCAGATTTACGGAGAGAGAAGAGGACTCTGCCACTTCCTTCTAAGGGTCGGCATGGAGAACGTCCATGAGCTCCAGCATCCGCTCCTGGCCAAGACCTCCGGGAAGGTGATGTTCCAAGGTCGGATGCTCAGCCGCGCCAGTCCACAGAAACATTCTGGATTGCTGTCCTGCCATGTGCCCTCCGGCCTCTCTTGGCTACAGCCAGGCTCCGGGGTCCTTTCCCACCAGCTCTTGGATCCCAGCAGCCTGCAAAGGACAGTTGAGCCCTACTGCACCCCAGAACCCCCGCTGTACCCCGAGTTTTGGAAAGCCAGCAACCCTCAAGGATGGAAGAAGAAAGATTACATCGAAACGGCCTTTGGAGATAGCAAGGAGGCTGGGGAGCTGCCCAGGAAAGTGGCCCTGGAAAAGGACATTCATACGGTCTGCTATGAAGTGGGGGACACCGAGTTGCCAGACGTGGAGGTAAAGACCTGGCCGGGTTGAATCATGAGAGATGAGGGTCTCATTCCTGTTTGAAGGGGTGTATCTATTCTATAGGACTAATGCAGTTTGACGCCACTTTGTCATGGGAGAAGAGGGTCTCATTCCTGTTCGAAGGGGTGTATCTATACTATAGAATGGAAACTAAAACAATGGAGTTTATATATCTGTGTAATGCCCAGGGTGGGAGAAAGATCTCTTCTCTATTGGAGGTAGATGTAAATGAAGCAATAGGCTACCTTGATTAGCACTGAATGGCCTTGCAGCTCCAAAGCTTGGCTGCTTCCTGCCTGGGGGAATCCTTTGTTTAGAGGTGATAAGCTAACCCTGATTGTTTCTTGTCTGGAATTCCTGTATTTTTGAGTGTTATTTTTATTTTCTGTTATAATTTTAGAGTTTTTTAAAATATTGGTAGCCAGATTTTGTTCATTTTCATGGTTTCTTCCGTTCTGTTGAAATTGTCCACATACCTGTGGATTTCAATGCCTTCTCTGTGTAGTCTGATATGATAATTGTTTGAGTGGTCCAGCATCTCTGTGTTCTCAAATAGTATGCTGTGTCCAGGTTGGTACATCAGGTGTTCTGCTATGGATGACTTTTCTGGTTGAATTAGTCTTCAGTGCTTTTAATGTTTCTTGATTTGTGTTTGGGCAATGCTGCGTTTGGGGGTCCCTATGTAGACGTGTCCACAGCTGCATGGTATACGGTTCACTCCTCCAGACGTGAGAAGATCTAACAGTAAATAAAAAACAGCACTCAAAAACAGGGGAATTCCAGAAAAGAAACAATCAGGGCCAGCTAATAAACTCCCAACAATGGATTCCCCAGGCAGGAAGCAGCCAGGCTTTGAAGCTGCAAAGCTATTCAATGCTAATCATATGTCATCAGTTGGAGACCCCCCCCCCAACACCTACCAATTGCTGCTCTGGGCCAAAGAGAAGAGAGAGGGGGGCAGAAGACAGTTCCACCTTGTCTCCTGTGCTATGTTTATAATATAATATAATATAATATAATATAATAATATAATATAATATAATATAATATAATGTATATACATATAATATTTATAATATTATAATGTGATACAATATAATACTACTAATAATATGATATTATGGGTTGTTGTAGATTTTTTCGGGCTATATGGCCATGGTCTAGAGGCATTCTCTCCTGACGTTTCGCCTGCATCTATGGCAAGCATCCTCAGAGGTAGAGACCTCTGAGGATGCTTACCATAGATGCAGGCAAAATGTCAGGAGAGAATGCCTCTAGACCATGGCCATATAGCCCAAAAAACCCTACAACAACCCAGTAATTCTGGCCATGAAAGCCTTCGGCAATATGATATTATAATTATATATTTTCTATTATATGTAATATTACTAATAATATTACAATAATAATAATCATCATCATCATCATCATCATCATCATCTTTATTTATACCCCGTCACCATCTCCCCCAACAGGACTTGGGGCGGCTTACATGTGACCAAGCCCAAACAACAAATTACAACACAATAAAATACAAGTTACAACAAAATAACAACATCGCGATAAAGTACAAAGCATAAAAATACAATAAAAATATACCAAAAAAACCCACAATAAACTAAACATAATAACAGTGAGTGGGCCGCATGTACATAAAATGATTTAAAAACTCAGGGTGAGATAAAGGAACAGAATTATTTATGGTATAGTACAATGGTAAAGTAATATATAATACTGATATTGTGCTATGCTAATAATATAATATATTGTATGTATATATATCTTGTAAGCAGCTTTGGGGTGAGAAGGGCGGCATATAAATGTCGTAAATAAAATAAATAAATAAAAATAAATAAAATCATAACAGTAAATTAAGAACTAAATAACGAGGGAATTCCAGACAAGAAACAATCAGGGCCAGCTAATCACCCCCAGGCAGGAAGCAGCCAGGATTTGAAGCTGAAAAGCTGTTCAATGCTAATCAAGGTAGCCAAATGCTACATTTACACCTACCTCAAACAGATAAGAGTTTTTTCCTCCCACCCTGGACTTTCCACAGACATATAAACCCCATTTTCCTAGTTTTCAACAGACCTCACAACCTCTGAGGATGCCTGCCATAGATGCAGGCGAAATGTCAGGAGAGAATGCTTCTGGAACATAGCCATACAGCCCGGAAAACATACAACAACCCAGTGATTCTGGCCATGAAAACCCTCGACTACAGAACCTATGGGGACTGCCTGCATTTAGTATCCATGCAGCAAGTGAATGCAATCGCTCTTTCTTGCTAAGTCTTTCCATCGCAATTACGGCAAAGGCAGATTGCATCCGATTCTGGAAGTAGCATATTGCTCGGATCATTGACTGATACGGCTACTGAGGTCCTTCCCCTCCGTGAATTTAGCCTGGCCTCCTTTAAAGCCATCTGTGCTGAAAACACATCAACAGCAGGATTTTTTTCCCTTATCTTCCTACCCACTTGACAACTGCAGGGAAAGGAAATCTCACAGAATTCAGGACTTCCAGGCCATGTCATGCACCTCTGTTTTGTACCTCCCAGTTCAGGAGGAAAAGGATGGGTCTGAACCTTGACTGCAAGAGAAGCTTGCCAGGAGCGCACGAGGACAACTCTGAGTCTTCTGTTCTCATTCCCTATCAATGGGAGGAAAAAAGATAAACATTGCATCTAGGAGCAAATTTGGCATAAGTTAGAATTCAAATACAGAGCTGTGCAAGTCCGGATCACTATGCAAAGGACCACATTTCCAACTCTCTTTGAGACTAAGTGAAGGAAAGTAGTTGTCAGGTTTCCTGGACTTACCATAATTACTCGTATATAAGTCGACCTCATGTTTAGGTTTTTCAGAGCCTTATCTTTCACACTTTGTTCAGTGGTTCATACTCATACTGACCTGTGAAAAGTCAACCAAGTTGTTTTGGATTGATATTTTAAAAACTAAAGTTCCTCCTAGACGTACACATGAGTGTATAGCAGGCATGGGCAAACTTTCCAACTTGGGGGCCACATGCTAGCTCTCCCTGCGAGGAGGACTGGCTGCCCAGTGGTGGAAGGAAGGAAGGGAAGGTGGAGGAAGGGAAGGAGGAGGAAGGAAGGGAGGAAGGAGGGAGGAAAGAAGGAAGGAGAAAAGAGGGAGGTGAGGAGGAAAAAAAGAAAAGGAAGGAAAGACTAAAGGATAGGAAGGATGAAAGGGTGGAAGGAAGGGTAAGAAGAAGGAAAAAGAGAAGGAAGGAGTCAAGGGCTAAAGGGGAAGGGAAGGATGGAGGGAGAAAGAGAGAGGCAAGGAGGAAAGGAAAGAAAGGAAAGACTAAAGAGAAGGAAGGATCAAAGGGTGGAAGGAAGGGAAGGAAGGAGGAAGAAAAAGGAGGGAAGGAAAAAGGGGGAAGGGGAAGGAGGAGAGAGAAGAGAGAAGGGAAGGGGAAGGGAGGAAGAGAGAAGGAAGGAAAGACAAAGGGAGGGAGGGAGGGAGGGAGGGAGGGACGGGAGGGAGGGAGGGAGGGGAGAGGGAGGAGAAAGGGAAAGGAAGGAGGAGAAAGGGGAAGGAAGGAAGGAGAAAGGAAGAAGGGAGGGAGAAGGAAAAGAGGAAAGGAAGGAAGGACGAAAGGTGGAAGGGAATGGAGGGGAGGGAGGAAAGAGGGGGGAAGGAGGAAGAAGAGAAGAAGGAAAGAAAAAGAGGAGGATGGAAGGAGAAAGAGGGAGAAGGATGAGAGAGGAAACAGGGAAGGAAGGACGAAAGGGTGGAAGGGAAGGAGGAAGGAAAGAGGGAAGGAAGGGTGGAAGGGAATGGAGAGAGGGAGAAAGAGAGAGGAAAGAGAGGGAGGGAAGGAGGGAGGGAAGAGAGAAGGAAGGAAGGGAAGACAAAAAGGAAGGAAGGAAGGAGAAAGAGGGAGAGGGAAGGAGGGAGGAAAGAGGGAAGGAAGGGCGAAAGGGTGGAAGGAAATGGAGGGAGGGAGAAAGAGAGGGGGAAGGGAGGGAGGGAGGGAAGGAGAGAAGGAAGGAAGGACAAAAGGAAGGGAAGAAGGAGAAGAGAGAGAGAGGGAAAGGAGGAGGAAGATGAAGGAAGGAAGGATGGAAGCGAAGGAAGGGAAGGAGGAAGGAAAGAGGGAAGGAAGAAGAACACATTCTGGAAGGGATGGAGAGAGGGAGAAAAGAGAGAGGGAAGGAGGGAAGGGGGAAGAGAGAAGGAAGGAAAGACAAAAGGGAAGGAAGGAAGGAGAAAGAGAAAGCGGGAAGGAGGCAGGAAAGAGGGAAGAGGGAAGGAAGGATGAAATAGTGGAATGAAGGATGGAAGGAGAAAGAGGGATGGAAGGAGGAAGGAAAGAACGAGAGAAGGATAAGATGATGAGAGTGGAGGGCCTGAGAAAAGAACCCAAGAGGCCGCATCCTGCCCCCGGGCCTGGGTTTGCCCATACCTGGTATATAGGGTACATTTATGAAAGTTTATACTTTCTTTTGGGCAGTCTCTAAGGCAGGCATCCTCCAGGTGTTTTGGACTTCAACTCCCACAATTCCTAACAGCTTCAGGCCCCTTCCTTAAGCGACTGAGAGGGGAAAGGAAAGGGCCTGAGGCTGTAGGAATTGTGGGAGTTGAAGTCCAAAACACCCGGAGGATTAAAGTTTGCTTGTGCCTGCTCTAAGGTGTACTGCTGAAAATATTTAAGGACACTTCCAAGTATACGTTGTCTTGCAAAAGCCTTCCTTTCCCCGGATGATTCAATGATAATTGATAAGGAAAGTCTCTTTCCTGCAAGGAGTCCAAATGTTGGGTTTCAGGTGGCAAAGTTAACGTTCTGGCTCAGAAGTCCTTCCTTTTGTGTTTCTATTCTGACTTAGTAATAGTGAGTCCTTTCTTCTCCCTCTTCTGTTCCCCAGAATGACTCTTCGAGTGACAGCGACACAGAAAGCGAAAGCAGTTTCTCCATGTTGCTGCCCCAGGATTACCTCGGCTTGGCTGTTTTCTCCATGTTATGCTGCTTCTGGCCATTGGGAATCGCTGCTTTCTATCTGTCCCAAAAGGTGGGTTGTTGCAAAGGGTGCATCTACACTGCAGACTTAATGCAGTTTGACACCACTTTAACTGCCATGGCTCAGTGCTATGGGATCGTGAGGTGTAGTATGTCAGAGTTTCTCAACCTTCCAAATGCTGTGACGAAAACCCAGTTCCTCCCATTATGGTGACCCCAACCATAACATTATTTTCGTTGCTACTTAATAACTGAAATTTTGCTACTGTTATGAAACTAAATGTAAATATCTGATGCGCAGGATGTATTTTCATTCACTGGACCAAATTTGGCACAATATCCAATATGTCCAAATACTGGTGGATTGGGGGCGGGATTGATTATACCATTTGGGAGTTGTAGTTGCTGGGATTTACAGTTCACCCACAACCAAAGAGCATTCTGAACTCCACCAACAATGGAATTGCACTAATTGAACTTCTATGACTAACAGAAAATACTGAAAAGGTTTGATAGGCATTGACCTTGAGTTTTGGAGTTATAGTTCACCTACATCCGGAGAGCACTGTGGACTCAGACAATGATGGATCTAAACCAAACTTGGCACAAATACTCAATATGCCAAAATGTGAACACCAGTGGAGTTTGGAGAAAACAGAGTTTGTCATTTGGGAGTTGTAGTTGCTGGGATTTATAGTTCACCTACAAACAAAATGTACTCTGAACTCCACTAATGATGGAATTCAACCAATTGAACTTCCATGACCAACTTCCATGACCATGCTTTTTGATTGTAGGCAAACTATAAAACCCAGCAACTACAATTCCCAAATGTCAAGGTCTATTTTCCCCAAATTCCACCAGTGCTCACATTTGGGCATACTGAGTATTTGTGCCAAGTTTGGTCCAGATCCATAATTGTTTGAGTCCACAGTGCTCTCTGGATGTAGGTGAACTACAACTCCAAAACTCAAGGTCAATGCCCACCAAACTCTTCCAGTATTTTCTGCTGGTCTTGGGAGTTTTGTGTGCCAAGTTTGGTTCAATTCCATCGTTGGTGGGGTTCAGAATGCTCTTTGATTATAGGTGAACTATAAATCCCAGCAACTACAACTCCCAAATGACAAAATTAATATCCCCCCAGCCTTACCAGTATTCAGATTTGGGCATATCAGATATTTGTCCCAAATTTGGTCCTGAATATCAGATATTGACATTGCAATTCATAACAGTAGCAAAATTACAGTTCTGAAGTAGCAACGAAAATAATTTTACAGTTGGGGGTCACCACAACACGAGGAACTGTATTAAGGGGTCACAGCATTAGGAAGATTGAGAACCACTGGAATAGAGCGTTTTCTCTGGACCTTGCAGGCACTATCCAAGGTGCTGAAGTCTAACCCTCAAATAGATCAGGCATGGGCAAACTCTGGCCCTTCAGGTGTTTTGGACATTAACTCCCACAATAAAGGGGCCGCAGCATTAGGAACTTTGAAACCACTGGAACTTACAGGCACTATCCAAGGTGCTGAAACCTCTGGACCTTACAGGCACTATCCAAGGTGCTGAAACATTACAGGCACTATCCAAGGTGCTGAAATCTAACCCTCAAACAGATAGATACATAAATCAGGTATGGGAAAACTCTGACCCTCCAGGTGTTTTGGACTTTAACTCCCACAGTAAAGGGGCCACGGCATTAGGAAGATTGAGAAACACTGATGTAAACATTAGGAAGAACTTTCAGACTGTTAGAACTGTTTGGCAGTGCGATATGCTGCCTGAGTGTGAGGGAATCACTATTTCTGGAAGTTTTTAAGCCAAGTCTGGGTGACCCTCTGTTAGTAGTGCTCGGATTGTGTCTTCCTGGGGTTGGACTGGATGGCCCATGGGGTCTCTTCCAACTTTGTGATTCTATGTACTAGAAGCTGACCACAATCTCACTGGAGAAAATTTTAAATTAAATCTGAAGAAGTCAAATGTGGAGGGATGAGAGTACACTGTGTTACATCCCATATAGACTACTGCAACACTCTCTACGTGGGGTTGCCTTTGAAGACTGCCCAGAAGCTGCAACTAGTCCAACGTGCGGCAGCCAGATTACTGACAGGAGCGGGGTACAGGGAGCACACAACTCCTCTGTTGCATCAGCTCCACTGGCTGCCAATTAGCTTCCGAGCACAATTCTGGTGTTAACCTACAAAACCCTAAACGGTTCTGGCCCAGTTTATCTGTCCGAACGGATTCTAGACATTAGACTAGCACCCACATTGGCAGTCTTTAGGAAGAACTTGAAGACCTGGCTATTCCGATGTGTCTTTCCAGAATAGGATAACCTCCAGCACTATGTCCCAGAAGCACTTTATTAGAGTTTAAGACTCCCTGCACATTGCACTTGCCCAGAATCCCAACATATCACCTCTCACACCCAGCACTTTTTAACCTGTACCCTTCATTGGCCCGGCCCTGGTTTTATTGCGTAATAGTGTAATGTTCTGTGTTGTTATTGCTTATGTTTTTAATTTGCTTTGCATTGTATTGTTATTGTCTGTTGTTGTGTTGAGGCCTTGGCCTTGTAAGCCGCATCGAGTCCTTCGGGAGATGCTAGCGGGGTACAAATAAAGTTTAATAATAATAATAATAATAATAATAATAATAATTCTCCCCTATGAACCATCAAGGTTGTTAAGATCTTCTGGAGGGGCCCTGCTCTTGGTCCCACCACATTCGCAATTGCGGCTGGTGGGGACAGGCTGGACAGGGCCTTCTCTGTGGTGGGCCCTCGGCTATGGAACTCTCTCCCAATGGAGATCAGATCTGCTCCTTCCCTCCTGACCTTCAGAAAGCTAGTGAAATCCTGGCTCTGGGACATAGCATTCCCAGAATAATTGGTTGAGTCCAGCAATAACCTAATAACTACTGACCACATTGGCGGATTGAGTGGAACTTGATTCTATTTTGGCGATTTGTTTTATATGTATTTATTCTGTTTGTATTTTAACTTATTATGATTTTATGATGTTTTTAGCTGTAGTTGTGCATTGAATATTTGCTGTTGGCCAGTCTGAGCCCCTCTATGGAGGTAGAGAAGATTGGGATATAAAAGTTTCAAATAAATACTAATCTGCTGCTGTTCTTGGACTTCTTTCTCTCCGCAGACCAACAAGGCATCGGCAAAAGGGGACTACCCCAGAGCATGGACGGCTTCCCGCCAGACCTTTGCGCTGGCCGTCCTCTCCATCATCTTCGGCATCTGCACCTACATCGGTGCCGTGGTGGCTCTCATCGCCTACTTGTCCAACAAAGCACCTACTTAGGCCGCCCTGCTCCGTCGGAGACGTTCCCCCCATCCGTTCTCCATCAGTGTTGGAAACTCGGGGCAGCAACTGGACATAATACTCGTTGGCACATGTTTCCTGATGCGGTTTTCATCAAAACAGAACCCCTTCGTCTCGGACTCAGCAAGAAACCCCTTGAACCAACATGGGTTCAGTTGTGAACTGAGTTGCAACAGGCAGAAAACTTGGGACAGGGAACAGAGGGGAAAGGGAGGGAAAGGAAGATACCACCAGATTTGCATTGGATCCACACTTTTGGGATTTTGTTTCCTTTCTGTGTAATGGAGGTCGAATGAGACGGATCCATTGCTGGGCATCCAATTGGATTCTTGGGGCTTTGAGCATTTCCAATAGCCGTTTCCTGCGTAAGAAGTGAGGGGGGGATGTTGCCTCTGGACAAAATGGGTCCAGCCCCTAACCCTCCCTCAAGTTGCTGTGTCTCTTTGTCTCACTTCCTTTTATACAGAACTCTATTGTGGTTAAGAGATCCAAGGTTCATGCACACACTCCTGCCCTGAATAAAACTGCCCTTGCACTCGATCTCCTGTATCCGTTGTTTGCAAATGGTTCCCTCCAATATGGTAGCAAAGCTAACCATCCCATGGCAGCATCTGGACTGCAGCCCTTCTGCATAATGCAACCCTTGTCATGTCAGCATTTCTCAATCTGGGGGTCAGGACCCCTGGGGGGGGTGGGTCATAAGGGGGTTACAGATGGGTCACCAAAGATAATGAGAAAACATATATTTCTGATGGTCTTAAGAACCCCTTTGGCAGAGAAGGCTGAAGATCTCTCCGCCTATCCTTCTCTTCCTTTTTGGAAACAGATGGTGAATCCTCCCACCACAAACCCTCCTCCGTTGTGATTGGCCAGCCTCCTAGCTATGTGAAAGGTTGTTTCCGAGTTTCGCAAGGGGGGAGGGGAGAGCAAGTGTACTTGCAGCATGGCAGGGTGGTGTGCATGTGCGAGTGAGGGAGAGCGTGTGAGGCTGGAGGGAGGCACACGCCAGCGAGTCCCTTCAAGGCATGGGGGTTCTGTGTGGGAAATTTGGCCCAATTCTATCATTGCTGGGGTTCAGAATGCTCTTTGACTGTAGGTGAACTAGAAATCCCAGCAAATACAACTCCCAAATGCCAAAGTCTATTTTCTCCAAACTCCACCAGTATTCTCATTTGAGCATATTGAGGATTCATGCCAAGTTTGGTCCAGATCTATCATTGTTTTGAGTCCACAGTGCCCTCTGAATGTAGGTGAACTACAACTCCCAAACTCAAAGTCAATGCCCACCAAACCCTTCAGTATTTTCTGTTGGTCATGGGAGTTCTGTGTGCCAAGTTTGGTTCAATTCATTGGTGGAGTTCAGAATGTTCTTTGATTGTAATGAACTATAAATCCCAGCAACTACAACTCCCAAATGTCAAGGTCTATTTTCCCCAGGCTCCACCAGTGTTCACATTTGGGCATATTGAGTATTTGTGCCAAGTTTGGTCCAGATCCATCATTGTTTGAGTCCACAGTGCTCTCTGGATGTAGGTGAACTACAACTCCCAAACTCAAGGTCAATGCCCACCAAACTCTTCCAATATTTTCTGTTGGTCATGGGAGTTTTGTGTACCAAGATTGGTTCAATTCCATCATTGGCAAGGTTCATAGGAGAACTATAAATCCCAGCAACTACAACTCCCAAATGACAAAATCAATCCCCACAACCCCACCAGCATTCAAATTTGGGCATATCGGGTATTTGTGCCAAATTTGGTCCAGTGAATGAAAATACATTCTGCATAACAGATATTTACATTATGATTCATAACAGTAGCAAAATTACTGTTATAAAATAGCAACAAAAATAATTTTATGGTTCAGCATCACCACAACCTGAGGAACTGTATTAAGGGGTCGCGGCATTCAGAAAGTTGAGAAACACCGATATAGTAACTTGAGCTCTGGTTGACTCTGGAGACCAGGGTTTGATTCACTGCAAATGCATAGAAACTCACTCGGTAAATGGATTGTTGTAGGTTTTTCGGGCTATATGACCATGTTCTAGAAGCATTCTCTCCTGACGTTTCACCTTATCTATAGCAGGCATCTCAGATGTGACCTCACAACCTCTGAGGATGCTGCCATAGATGCAGGCAAAACGTCAGGAGAGAATGCTTCTAGAACATGGCCATATAGCCCGAAAAACCTACAACAACCCAGTGATTCCAGCCATGAAAGCCTCCGACAATACATCACTTGGTAAACTTGAGTAAGTCACACACTCTCAGCCTCAGAAAACACCATGCTATGGCCTTTGGGTCATTATAAGTTGAAAATGACTCAAAGGCACACAACAACAAGGGGACAAGAGCTGTGGATGAGAATCCTAAACTTCCATCCGCAAACTGCAAATTCCACGTTTGCATCAGATGTTTCCAAAGCAGAATCACTGTGTTATACCTGTAAAGGGTCCAAGGTTTGAACTGCATTGTGCAGGTTACAAAGAACGGAGAAAACACAATGCTTATAGAAGAAAACATTATATTGGGGAGAAGAATAAGATGAACCTTTCATAGTAAATGCAGGAAAAATTGCTTGTCCCCAAAGAGATAAACTGGACCGTTGAATGGAGCTTCCTTTCTTCTGTTCCCATCCTGTTCGGCCCCGTCCTTGTTCTTCTCCTGCTCTCCTCTAAAGCTTCCATGAATTATTGAGCATCCTGGCGCTTTATCACATATTTATGTGCAGGGACCCAGCCTGCTTCTTTCTAAAGCATTAACCATCATCTCAAGCGCAACTCAGGTGGAAGAAGAGGAAGGATCAAAAGGCCCTGATACTGGTCTGCATGCATCACGAACTGCTAGAACCAGACTCCTCTTAGGGAAAAGGTGAGAAGGGCAAAATCTATATGAATAAAAATGTAATGTTTGTTTGTGGGATTAACATAACTCAAAAACCGCTGGATGAATTGACACAAAATTTGAACACTACAACCCTAACAGACCAACAACTGACCATCAAAAAACCCCGAAACAGCGGAACGGACTCGAAAACCCAAAAAAGCTAAATAACGAAAAGCTAAATAATGATACAGAAAAAAGAGAAGGAAGAAGGAGGGAAGGGAGAAAGAAAGAAAGAAAGAAAGCATGGAAGCAAAGAGCGAAGGAAGGAAGGAAAGAGGTAGAGAAGGAATAAAAGAGAGAAAGAGAGAAGGAAAAGGAAAAGAGGGAAGGAAGGAAAGAGAGAAGGAAGAAAGGAGAGAAAGTGGAAGGGAAAGAAAAAGGGGAAGAAGGAAAAGGTAGAGAAGGAAGGAGAAGGAAAGAAAAAAGGGAAGGAAGGAAAGAAGGAGCGAAGGAAGGAAGAAAGTGAGAGAGAAGGAAAGAAAGACGGAAGGAAGGAAAGAGGTATAAAGAAAGGTATGAAAAAGGGTGGAAAAGAAAAGGGAAGGAAAGAAAGAGGTAGAGAAGGAAGGAAGGAGAGAAGGAAAGAAAACAAAGAAAGGAAGGAAAGAGGGAGTGAAGGAAAGAGGGAAAGAAGGTGAGAAAGAGTGTGGAGGAGGCTTCTTATTTGGAGGCTTTTAAACAGAGGCTGGATAGCCATCTGTCGGGGGCGCTTTGAATGCAATCTTCTTGCTTCTTGGCAGAATGGGGTTGAACTGGATGGCCCACGAGGTCTCTTCCAACTCTGTGATTCTATGAGTAGAGCAGAAGACCTGCAGGAAGCCAATTCCCTCTTAATGTTATCTTACGGTGCATCTGTACGGTTGAATGAATGCAGTTGGACCTCACTTTGACTGCAATTGCGCTGTGCTAAATTGTCATTTTAAAAGGTCTTTAACCTTCTGTGCCAAAGTGTGTGGATGCCTCACCAATGTCTACCTCCTAGTATTGGGAAATCATTGTGCCATGGCATAACTCCATTCGTTCTACAGTGTAGATCAGGCATGGTCAAACTTGGGCCCTCCAGGTGTTTTGGACTTCAACTCCCACAATTCCAAACAGCCTACCGGCTGTTAGGAATTGTGGGAGTTGAAGTCCAAAACACCTGGAGGGCCCAAGTTTGCCCATGCCTGGTGTAAATGCACCCTACATTTTGCAGCAACAAATCCTCTATATTAACTAAAATAGTGGCTAGAAATGTGACTGCTTTTGTTGGTAAAGCTTGGATGTCACCAAGAATATCAGGAGATATTCCAGATAAAAATTCAAATGAATAATGATTTGCTACTATGGAAGTGTTGGATCATCAGAGTATAAAAACTAATCACCAGGAGTTATTTAAGGTAACAATAAGAGCAACCCATGCAGTGATCACTAGAGGATGGAAAGACAAATCGAAATGGACGTTAAGTAATTGGAATGATTATATGTATGACCAAGTGCTGTTAGATATTACGGGAATTATGACTAAGCAAGCACCAAGAATGGACAAAGGTAAGATCATTACAAATAGATGGAAGGTCTACTTCAACTGGGTGAAAAATGGAGGAGCCAACGATCCCATCAAAGAAAAAAAATACAAAGACTCTACCAGTGGCTCGATCTGCAAGATTAGTAGAAATATACTGTGGTTGAGGAGGGAGGGAGAGGGAGGGAAGGGGGGAAAATGTAATCTACACCAGTGTAAATTAGCATAATATTTAATATTTGTTGAATTACTCAGGATTTAAATGTGTAACACTTGGAATTTGGCTTATTGATTTGTGTTTATAACATAATAAAATATATATTTTTTAAAAAGGAATGAGACAGATTTGGATGGCACCAAGAAGACTGCTTCCTGGTGGTGCAGCGGGTTAAACTGCTGAGCTGCTGAACTTGTTGACTGAAAGGTTAGCGGTTCGAATCCAAAGGAGTGGGGTGAGCCACCACTGTTAGCCCCAGCTTCTGCCAACCTAGCAGTTCGAAAACATGCAAATGTGGGTAGATCAATAGGTACCGCTTCTGCAGGAAGGTAACGGTGCTCCATGGAGTCATGCTGGCCACATGACCTAAGAGGTTGTCTACAAACAGCTGGATCTAACTGACATATCATGCTGTTTAATTACTTTGAACGACATCATATGGTGGATCCCCCGGTGGCACAGCAAGTTAAACCACTGAGCTGCTGAACTATCACACCTACCATTCTCAACGATGACTTCCAGGAATGATGGGAATGATATACAGATTTGGATGGCACCAAGAAGACTGCTTCCTGGTGGTGCAGCGGGTTAAACTGCCTGAGCTTGTTGACCGAAAGATTAGCGGTTTGAATCCAGGGAGCTATTAGCCCAGCCCCCAGCTTCTGCCAACCTAGCAGTTCAAAAACATGCAAATGTGAGTAGATCAATAGGTACCGCTTCTGTGGGAAGGTAACGGCGTTCCATGCAGTCATGCTGGCCACATGACCTTGGAGGTGTCTACGAACGGCTGGATCTACACTGCCATATCATGCTGTTTAATTGCTTTGAACTACATTATATGGTGGATCCCCCGGTGAAACCACTGAGCTGCTGAAGTTGCTGACAGAAAGGTTGGTGGTTCCAAACAGGGGAGCAAGGTGACCTCCTGCTG